TAATAATTCCCTTGAAGCTCGACTGAAACCAAATGTATTTTGTAAAGAAACTAGAAATTCTTTCTCGCAGCTGCCAATTAAAAATTGCCTTCAATGGACACATGAAGCACTCACCCCCGAGCTCATTATCACAAATCATCCTTGTTTGAGATCGATTTTTAATTAATGAGGCGTCGTAGGAGCCGAACGAGACTTGATAAATATTTATTAGCTTCAACATCGTCATGCGTCTTGTTGACAACGTACCTCAACGCTCAGAATATTGTATGGGTCGATCGTTGTCCAAATAGTAATACACTTTCTGCTTTTGAACTGAAACTTCCTTCTACCCGACCAACCTAGTTCAGAATACCCACATAAGGCAAGAAAAAAAAAATCAGGCTAGAAAAAAAAAATCAGGCGAGAAAAAAAATCAGGCGTGCAGCAGGCGAGAGAAAAAACGTACCCAATCAGGCGAGAAATGCATCGCTCTTTGTACAGTGTCAATCATTCCACCGATTGCCGCGTTAGAAAGCATTTTTAAAATTGTGGACCTATACTGTCTGAAGTTTATATATTATAGGAAGAGTTTGCTTAAGATTTTATGTGATGAAATTATTATGGTGGCTAAATAATTTGAATATTGGTGGCAAATTATGGATGTTAATTTGAAGTATATTAAATATTATTGCCAAGGCACCCAATTTTCCCCCACAGGGCTGGTCTGCCGGGGCGGTGGTGTCTCCTGAAGGCTGTGTGTGCCGTGGCTGCAGAGCCTCTCAACGACCTCGGCCTGCTGGGGGACATGATCAGCATGTTCCTAGCGTGAGTGATGAGCATGTTCCTAGCGTGAGTGATGAGCATGTTCCTAGCGTGAGTGATGAGCATGTTCCTAGCGTGAGTGATGAGCATGTTCCTAGCGTGAGTGATGAGCATGTTCCTAGCGTGAGTGATGAGCATGTTCCTAGCGTGAGTGATGAGCATGTTCCTAGCGTGAGTGATGAGCATGTTCCTAGCGTGAGTGATGAGCATGTTCCTAGCGTGAGTGATGAGCATGTTCCTAGCGTGAGTGATGAGCATGTTCCTAGCGTGAGTGATGAGCATGTTCCTAGCGTGAGTGATGAGCATGTTCCTAGCGTGAGTGATGAGCATGTTCCTAGCGTGAGTGATGAGCATGTTCCTAGCGTGAGTGATGAGCATGTTCCTAGCGTGAGTGATGAGCATGTTCCTAGCGTGAGTGATGAGCATGTTCCTAGCGTGAGTGATGAGCATGTTCCTAGCGTGAGTGATGAGCATGTTNAACTCTCTACCACCACCATCATCACCACCCATAACTCTCTACCACCACCATCATCACCACCCATAACTCTCTACCACCACCAACATCACCACCCATAACTCTCTACCACCACCATCATCACCACCCATAACTCTCTACCACCACCATCATCACCACCCATAACTCTCTAATCACCGGCAGTCGAGAGTTGCACGCAGTTCCCAGGGCCGCTCTCACGCGTTAAGAAGTCCCAGCATTTACCGTTGTTTGTTGCAGCGCGGGCTACGGTAGCGGCTCGGACGACCTGCTGGAGTACGTGATCGCTGAGGAGGTGGGGCTGTACGATGGGGACTGCCAGTCCCACTTCCCACAGTGTCCCCTGGACCTCACCCACCTCCTTGAGAGAGGACTGGGCGCCCTCTACGAGAAAAACGGTGCCCAAGAGGGAAAGAAAGCTTCCCAGGAGGGGAAACTTTCACCTCATGAATGGAAAAATGATTTACATGAAACGAAGCATGTTTATTTTGAGGAGAACCACATCGCTGGTGGGGAGAAGAATTCAGCTCATAACGAGGAAGAAATACCATTCTTCGAGAGAGAGAAGTCATTAAATGGAGCAAGGATCTTCCCTAATGAGGAGCGACGTGTAGAATTTGGGGTAAATAATTCCTCGCTCTTCCTCCCCACGACTGGGGAGCTGTCCCCTGACGACTATGAGTTGTACTACGAGTATGAGATGGTGTGATATATATGGCATGGCATAAAATATATGGCATGGTATGCAATATATGGCATGGTATCAGATGATATGGGCTGGTGCGAGATGTTACTACTAGAAACTACTAGATGGAAACAAGGAAATAAAATGATAAAATGTCGGCTGTACACTCTCGTATAATATTCGAGTTGTAACTATGTATTACATTCCTACTAATTAATAGTGCTAATTTATATCACTTTTCCTTGATGAAATAATTTATTCCCAGATTTATGGTTTGATTATTAATTTCAATACTATATTAAGAAATTTTTATTGGTTCTATTGTATAAGTTTTATTTTGAAATGAAAGATTTTTTCTTTTATTGCGAAACGAGGGATTTCTTAGTTGTATTTTATGGAGAGTTGAAGTATTTCATGAAGAGAAGAATATTCTTTTGCAAACCATCCAGAATTTGAATAGAAATCGAGGGGAGACGGAAAATTAGGTGAAAAATTTGACCGCAAAAGAAATCAACAGGAAGACCAGGTGGATTGAATAGTATATGAGAGATGACGCTGGATTCTGAGATAAAATTTTGATTGGGGAGAATTTGGTAAGGAATAGAAAGAGATAGCAGTGGATGACACTGGATAATCATAGATAAAAATGAATAGAAATGGATAGAAATTCTTCATTGATTGAGACCCAAAAATGGACACGTGTTGCTCCTGAAATGAGCAAAGAAAAAGCACGAAGAAAATTTTGGATAAAGAAGTTTTTGGTGAAAACCTTTTTGAGATGCACGGGGAAAATGATGTATGGATAAGCGGTGATCACTTGTGATGGTTTATACATAAGTTCAAAACCTGTATAGAGGATTGCACTGAAGAGTTAAAATACGTAAAAATATGACGAAATATCATCATTAAAACCAAACAGGAACTCAAGGGAGACTTGAGAGGAAGTTCAGGCCAAACCAACGATACGCAAATTCATTTTGCCGTTTATCGAATGACAAGAAAAATGACAAGAAGAACTTAGAAATAAGAAGGACTTAAAAGATATGTTTAATTTGTATCCCCAATGCACATATGCAAGATAACGCACATCTCATTACGGTGCTTAGTACCGCGGCGACGCGCATGACGCACTGCGTATAAAAGCGGCCGTCCCGCGCGCCCGCCGAGTTTTGCGACAACTGAGCAGCGGTGTCGCGTTACCTGACCACGCTCTGCGCTGTTGTGCGCTTATCTTACGTAAAGTATACGAGTACTTATCTTAAGTAGAGTATACGTGCACTTATCTTACGTAGAGTATACGTGCGCTTATCTTACGTAGAGTATACATGTACTTATCTTAAGTAGAGTATACGTGCACTTATCTTAAGTAGAGTATACGTGCACTTATCTTAAGTAGAGTATACGTGCACTTATCTTACGTAGAGTATACGTGTACTTATCTTACGTAGAGTATACGTGCACTTATCTTACGTAGAGTATACATGTACTTATCTTACGTAGAGTATAGTGCATTTATCTCACGTAGAGTAAACGTGCACTTATCTTACGTAGACTATATGCTTGTTTATCTTATGTAGAATTTACGTTCACTTATCTTACGTTGAGTATATTTGCATTTATCTTACGTGGAGTATACGTTCGTTTATCTTACGTAGAGTATACGTGCATTTATCTTACTTTGAATATGCGTTCATTTATCTTGAGTAGAGTTTGCGTTCACGTATATTACGTAGATGATACGTTCATTCATCATACGACGGTACGTGTGCCTATCTTGAACCCATTTTCTGTAGCGTACGTGTCTTGTTCTTATATTTTTCTTGTATTACGTATAATGGATTACTATGTTTTGGATGTTCTATGCAATACCTATGCCTAAGCTCACGTAAATCATAAATGCATTAATTATATACGATACAACTTTTATATATCCATTTTGATAACGTCGCTTATACTGCAGGTGTTGTAAACGTGTGCTAGAGGTGTTGCAGCTGTCGCTATATTGTATAGTTGTTGTGACACACATTCAACATAATTCAATATAATATGTATTATTATGAAAGGTTATTTGATATACCTATGCAATACCCTTACTAAAGATTAAGTATACCGTTTGGGTGAACCATTTATTTATCGATTTGGAACATCATTCATGCCTGTATTGTATTATTTACTACCTTTCTATAAATGGTCATCTAGCTGTTATACAAATTTTAAGCGAACTATTATGCACAAAAAATGTAACATTAACTCCTTATAGTACACTTTCAAAATGAAATGTAAATTGGCATTTCTACTATGCCCCTGTTCAATTTTTCAAGGCTCGACCAATGGCTTACTTACAGTCACAAAATTTACTTTCGTATAGAAAATACCAATTACCTAAAATATCATCAAACCTAAAGTCCACTGCAACACAAAACAAGTTTCCAAAATAAACAATAATACTGGGGCTACATTCAAGAGTTTTCGGCTGCAGAAGTTGGCGTTCAGGCCCACGAGGTTCAAAGATCTATCGCTTTATTCGCTGAGCATCGCCCAGGAGCTTCAATGCTCTCTGCTCAGACCGCATTTGCATAATTGCCCGGGCTAAAAAATTACGGTAGGGCTCAAGTTCGTTGCGCTTTTGCCGAATTCGACGGAAATTCCCTATTAACGGGCACCAATGACACTACCATTGCAATCAGGAACTTACGAACAACTGTAACCCTTGCACCAAACTGTGGAACTTAGGAACAACTGTAACCCTTGCACCGAACTGTGGAACTTAATTAGGAACAACTGTAACCCTTGCACCGAACTGTGGAACTTAGGAACAACTGTAACCCTTGCACCGAACTGTGGAACTTAGGAAAAACTGTAACCCTTGCACCGAACTGTGAAACTTAGGAACAACTGTAACCCTCGCACCACACTGAAACTTACGAACAACTGTGACCCTTGCACCATACTGAAACTTACGAACAACTGTAACCCTTGCACCACATTCTGAAACTTACGAAAAACTGTAACCCTCGCACCGCCTCGTAAAACTTTACGAACAGCTGTGACTCGCAAATCTCATGACGCAACAATGACCTTTCCTTGTGAGAGCCAAAAACATTACAACGACCATTTCGTTGAACTAGTGAAATTCATAACGTGATATTGACTTTATCTTGTAAAAATTGAAATTTAGTGCGCGCATGTGATTCCTGCAGGTCATCGTGAAACTCATATTACAACCATGACTTGTACCTTCAAACTTCACAGTTTAAATTCCGGTTCAACAACGATTTGGTAATGAAATTACCACTGCAGGTAATTACCACTGCTCTTCTATTGGAAATTGTACTGCAGGATAAATCCTCCAATAGAAGCCTTACAATAGACGTTCAATAAAATTATGATTATTTCATGAGACTAAAATCTCTTCTTGCAGAAATAAACCAAACTAATGACAAAAAACGACTATACATGCAATCATGATTCTGTCAATTTTCCACGCTTTTGGCTTTCCACGGCAAGCATGAACTCTTTATGTACAACTTTTCGTTACTTAAGTCATATTGCGCATTTGTTTAGAAATTTGAGTTATCGATTGTAATCTTTTTCATTCAGTCGTTAGATCAGAGCTTCACTTGACTCTCAACTATAACGATGCAAGAAAGCAGCTGAGAAAGGCAAGCAATCTTCGGCATGACCAATTCTAGAAACCTGTTCATTTCCGACAAATTCCAGTTCTGCGATAACTCGTGCTTAGTTCCTCCATCGGCCGAAGCGAATGCAGTCTCGGAGAAACTTGAGCCATTCCAGATGTCATCACACGGACTCAGTCTATCGCAATATATCCGAAAATTTACCGTTATCTCTTCAATTTTTTCCGTCAAATCTGTCAGGAAGACACGTCTTTTCGTCGGCACTCGAACTTGCCTCGTTGTAGTCTTGGTAATTTGTATGTGCTGGTCGTTGGAAAACGTCGATGGCTTCGTCTTGAGTCCTGTAGAGCCGGCAGCGCTTGTGGCCTCGAGGGCCCTCAAGGGCGCACCGAAATGCGTGGGTGGTGCACGCCACGGCCGCGTCAGGGGAGATGTTGGAGCGCTGCTCAATCATCACAACCAGGGTCTTGCCTCAGGATATCAAGAGCCGGTAAGATGAATGTTATGAATATAATGAAGTACTATTAGCAGAAAATTAATATTTTCACTATAGATTTACGTTTAGTAAACATTAGTTTCTGTCCTTACATCATCTGGAAATTGTCTCGTATGCCACAAGATAGCTATTACATTTGCGAAATTATTGAATTAATGTTTTATATTAATTGTTTATTCATTAAAAAATCCACCTCAGGCTTTGTCCAGCTGGTGAAGTGTATTAAAAACCCATGTTATATTGAGCCTAGATTTTGACGGAATAGATAATTGAATTTATAAGTGAATTCATTGACCTGCTGACGCACACTGATCTATTATACTTGTAGTATATGATTAGAATATAAAGTTAGTAATTAGAAATTTGTTTAAAATTACGAATTTTAGCGATATTTGTAAATTTCTGTGTATTGATTTGAATTTTATGCTGAGTTTTGAATTTATCTGTTAGTTTATAATTGAACTATTAAAAAATAAGTGACCAAATTTTAAATTATAAAAACTTTTGGATAAATTGGTCAAAATTCGAAATGCAAACCCCATTTACATAAGCTAAGGAAGCTCAAATGTTATTGTAGGCGAGTAAAATTTATTATCCAATGAATGAATATAAAATGTAATTCTTACCTAATTTATTTGCTCAATTAGAATTTTTTATATTTTCCAAACAATTTATTTAATTTCAGGTAAAAGACAGGAAGAAAAGATACTTGGCCTTTCCCGACGATTCGACACTGACGTTCAAAGTTGCTTTCTCAATTCCAGTTGGTAGCATGTACAACGGAAACAAGTGTGAGCCATGTATTTAAATAATTCAATTTTAATTTTATATTGAATTATCAGCCTAGTTACATCTTGCAAACTTTTCTGCTTACATGTAATTTTACTCGATTCTTCTGTTTGTAAAAAACAGCTGGAATGAAATAATAAACTTGAGTATTAACATTAAATCGAAATTCCTACAGTTTGAATAAAACTATACATCGAGTTAAAATTGTCATATTTCTGTATATATATAATGCAATCTAAAATCGATAACCAGAATAGAATTGAACACTCTTTCGGAGTATAGAAGTGACGAAGCATAAGCCGAGCATATTTTTTGTGAAATTACGTATAAAAAGAAATAATTTGATGCTTAATTTTGAGCTAAACGTAGGAGATGATTTAGGATCTACGAATAGTAAACGTGAGAAGACGGAAAACATTAGAATTGTTAAGAATTTCCTCTGGCATTTTCCGTAAAATTCTGATCTTGTATAGTTTTTATGGAAAGAAAGTAACTTAATCTTTTACGTTATAAACCTATTAGGGCAACGTGGGGCAGCGCGCCCCCCCACTTTTTTTAAACTAAATTTTTGATGAAGTTTTAATTGATACGAGGTGGTTCTTTGTTTTGTTTAAAGGTGCAACTAATGAGGAATGTATGATGTGAATTAGACGCCTATAGAGTTATTAAGTAATTTCAAAATCTTCATCTATATTAATGGAAAAAAACTTTATTTAGCGGCAAAAAAATTTTTATCTAGACTAAAACAGTTATTCGCAAAGAACTTAATAACGCAAACATTTAGCAAAACGTAAATCCGTACACTTCATCCCAGTGAAACTGTCGACCGGCGGTAGAGAACACGGACCAATATCTGCCATACTTAGCGAGAAACCCGCTATGGGCCCGTGACCCGCAGTGGGCTCGCTGCCCCATGTTACCCTATATATGATAACAATTAGGTGCGAGCCAAAAAGCATATAACTTTAAAATACGATCGAAAGAATAGGTAGTGACAGGAGCAGTCCCAGAGGAGCTTGAATATAGCCGATCGAGCTTAGAACTTATTCCAACGTTGATATGTATGTGTTTTGAAATAGTTAATACATTAGTTTTTAACACTTTTAGTTGATATTTTCATGCCATTATTTTGGCAAAGCTCGGCAAATTTGTTAACATATGCATCATCTAATACATTGAATAGGTTTCTATCGTAGACAATTAAATGCACTATACCTTATTCAAGACACAGCTGATCACTTTTCTCCCCCATTTCCACTTTTCAGTGCTGGAGAAGTACATAGAGTACGCATTCATCATACAGTTACCGACAGAGAAGTTGATATTCACGGGGCTCCATGACGTGTTCCATTACCCTGGCAAAGCCAAAGGCCCGCACGACAAAGGCTACGGGACACCTCGCCCGGAAACAGTGCTGCTCCACGGGTCCGAGGGCGCAACATACGGACGACCAAACTCACACACGAGAATAATTGCGGATTATGGAAAACCGGATGAACAAAAGCAGGATTCCGGCACGAGTTCTTACAGCAAATTGCAGAAAGACTTGTTAGGTTCAACACTGAGTGACTACGAGCTGCAAGTGAACTCATTACTCCATCCTGATCTGACATCACTAAGTGAAAACGCAACGCAGCTTCATGAATATCATGCAGCAACTTTTCATGAATCAGACCTGGGTCTTCTACCTGAGAATATTACGTTGAGTCACAATGAATATGAAGAGGATTTGGATGATTGGATGCAACCACATGGAAGTCAACAAAATCTTCACGATGTCATCATGTCACCGCTTGACCACCAGAGGCTGCTTGGCTTCAAGTCCATCGAAAAAACTTTCGACGGGTAAATACATATGATTTTATATTTAATAAAAATTTCGATAGTTGGAATAAATGTTAAGATCCAATGATATTATCATATATATGCCTGCATCTAAGTGACAAAACGATGATGTATAAAATAGAAAAGATAAAACTTACGATATATCACCCTTTGCATGAAGATGCATAGGAATAGCAATACTACATGCTTATCACCACAAAATTTCACTCAGAAAGTTCGAGCGGAACGCACATGTTTAATTAATTTCCTGTGTCCAGTTGTATTTGGGAAGCTGGCCGTATCAGAACTAGACTTAATAAAAGCTTATTTTTTTTCTTATTTATGAAGCAGAAGTCGACGCGACCCGAGCGAATTTAAAAATAAACTTTTTCGTTCGTCCGCCTTCACAAACTTTGCGCGTAGCACCACAATCTGAATTATCAACACAATTTGAATTAGCAACATTTAACATGAATAGTAACAAAGTACACAAAGGTACATAACAAAGGCACCCAATGGTCCCCCACAGGGCGGGTCTGCCGGGGCGGTGGTGTCTCCTGAAGGCTGTGTGTGCCGTGGCTGCCGAGCCTCTGTCAGAGTTCGGGCTGCTGGGGGAGATGCTGAACCTGTTCCTGGCGTGAGTGCAAACACGGCGCGCTAGGCCGGCTTATAGGCGGCCATAGACTTGTGCATGGTTGGCCGCTCATACCGCATGGCATTACGTTCCTCTCACGTAATGGCTGGCGGCCAATTATTGCATGTCATGATGGCTGGCGGCCAATTATCTCCTGCAATGTTGGCTGGCGGCCAATTATTGCATGTCATGATGGCTGGCGGCCAATTATCTCCTGCAATGATGGCTGGCGGCCAATTATTGCATGTCATGATGGCTGGCGGCCAATTATTATACGTCACGATGGCCGGTGACCGAATATATCACGTGCAATGATGCTCGGCGATCAATTATTTTATCAAAGATTCTGATAAAGCGTAAAAAATATAACTCACTACTCACTGCAGTGAGTGACAGAGAGCGCATTTTCTCGTCGACGAAAACGTGAAGTCACGGACGGATAGACGGACAGACAGACGGACATGACGAGCACAACAGGGCATTTTTCCAATAAATGAGAAAATGCGCTAAAAATGGTCATGCATGATGACGGCAAACGCTGCCAAATGGACTCGGTAGTTGCAATATTTATTTATATTGAATTTATAAATGCTATCCTGACATGCTTCTATGGACGAAAAATTAAATGTTTTTTCACTCTCATGGTAATAAATGCTCATACAAACCATGTGCTGCCCAACCTGAATGGATAATATGTTTGTTCGTTACCGATTTAATTATCGTTGAAAACCATGGCTAACATGTCGCTTTAATATATTCTAATATAATAAATGCTCATAGATGGTGTCTGAATTTTGGAAATCAATAATAAAAACAAACGAATAAGCTATACAATCTAGTTAGCATGCAAGGATAGGTTCTTTATTGTATTAATTTTCACAAAAGAGCGCATAACCTGACTGAGAGCTGATTTTATTCTTGGATATCGGTAGAGCTGGATACGGAGATGGATCTCCAGCGCTGGTGGAGTATATGATTGCCGAGGAGATCGGTTACATGGATGGATCCTGCGACCGGCACTTCCAGGCGTGCCCGGTGGATCTGGTGGATCTGCTTGCGTCTGGAGCGTCAGTCCTTGGCGGAGGATTGTCATCTGCTGCTGCGTAGATGCATTTTAATATTTTAATTTAGTTTATGGCTTGTGATGACTGAAGCACTTCCCGGTGGATCTCGTGGATAAGAAAATCTGGTGGACAGGTGGATCTGGTGGACAGGTGGATCTGGTGGACAGGTGGATCTGGTGAACAGGTGGATCTGGTGGACAGGTGGATCTGGTGGACAGGTGGATCTGCTGATCAGGTGGATCTGGTGAACAGGTGGATCTGGTGGACAGGTGGATCTGGTGAACAGGTGGATCTGGTGGACAGGTGGATCTGGTGATCAGGTGGATCTGGTGGACAGGTGGATCTGGTGGACAGGTGGATCTAGAAGGTTAGATCGCTTTTGAAACATTGATCGTGACTGAAGGTACGAGCTTCATTGAAACTTTTCATCCCCTATATATATATTGATACATTGGTTAATATCAGAATCTATCCTATCTGGGGAGGATTGATCCAAAATGAAAAAGGTTAATTTCGTGTATTGGATTATGTCGAGCATATAGGAGACTTAACCTTCGTAATAGGATTTATCGCTGAAGGGTTTAGATTGTTTATTCGTGGAACTTGATATTTTTTGAATATTTTTTATTCAAAAATATCAAGTTATTATTAGAGTTATTATTTTATTGTTTTTATTTTTTATAATGAGTTTTTATTCATAATACTGATGGAAAATAAATGTCCCTAAAATTATTCATAAAATCAGAAATACGATGAATCTTTGCAAGTGAAATACTCTTATTCTGGGAAATTCTGATCCGATCTCATTTATTTAAATGTTGCAGATAAAGTCGCTTCAGCTAACAGACTTGACGAGTGGGGAGCTCTTGTAAATAGGGAAGAAATTATTTTATTCGTTACCTACAGATTATTATTATAGTAATATAATTACGTATAATCATTATGTTAGATTATAATGTATATTAATATAATAATAATTATATCAATACAGCAAGTTATAATCATAATAATTTTGAATTAGCCTGTGGAATGAGTTGAAAGAAAATAAAAGAGGAATATACACACAGTTTAGCGACCGTTGTTATTTGACACCATTTTACAAATTTTGAAAAAGTGTTTTTAGATGTTTTACGATTCAAGTTCGATAATTTTGCAAATCCAAAAATTCTTCCAAAAATAATTCGTTGATTAATATTAATTTCTATCATTTGTTAGTAAAAACTATTAATAAATAAAGATATCTATATAATAAATCGCTAAAATAACATTGCAGTTTGTGAAATCGTCCTATTCTTTGAAAGTTTTTCTTTTTATTCTAAATGTGATTTCGTAGATAATTATTATTCGTTCTAAAATTTCCCGAGAAAAGAATAATAACATTAACTCTAATTTTAATAGTTTAAGTGCATTAGAAAAATCTATAATAATGACTGAAAATATTTGTAAATAATCCTGAGCGCATGACGATATTGCAGCTCACATTTGAATTCTTGAACGGAAAAGAAAATAAATTATTGACGCGTCTGTCATTTCCGGGAGCTCGGAATACGGATAAATGGCATCATGAGAGAACGATGTTATTTTATGAGAATATATCCAGTAATTCGAGAGAATTAAATAAAGGATTTCATGTTTAGCTTCAATTGAGCATTTAATTTCATTGAACTTTATTTAAAACATTTCACCAGAAGCACAATTGTAGTACTCTTAATGCTTGAAGACGATTAATAATACTTACATTCATGCGTTCGAATCTTTTACAAATTTTCCGTTCATTTCATTACTTTTTATTTCGCAAGGACACTTTCTTAGGCAAAAATAAAGCTTCAATTCTTCACCATTATTTTGAATATCCACACACGAACAACCTGACGCCAGGTAAAGTATCTGCTTCACAGAAGGCTCCCCTTCCATATTTTCAAAAGATTTCAAAAGTTCAACCTCGAAATGTGACATTTTTTAGCACATTTTTAACGAGACAACGCTCGTGAAAAGTGAGATGCTGCGATACTTCTTAAGGGAGTCGACTGCCTCCAAAGAATTATTTCACTCTTATTATTATTATTATTTAGATATTGTTTAATTCGTTAAAATGCATTAAAATGTTCTAAATTTAAATTGCAAAATAAGCAGCTTCTCAAGCGTCTATACGAGCACGGTTCCTCACTTTGGTTGTGACACACGAAGGTTCTTAATATTTGAAGAGGTCTCGAGACCTTAAGGATATGGAATCCTTTTCTTGTTCGAGAATGAAGCCCTAAATGAAAGCAATAATAAATGAAGTTTAAAGAAATTAATGTAATTTAGATTGCAGTTTTTAAATTTAAAGCGTTTTCTATGAGCAGCGTGTAACAAATTTATCATACAAAAAACAGTTTGAGGGAAAATTTTTACTTGAGCAATAAGGGGAAGCTCAGAGTTTTCTGGGAGTACACGATCGTGATTTAGATTGCAAATTCCGTTAAATTGGAAATATATCGCAATTTTGATGGGATTCCATGATTCGTGATTATATGATTGTGAATGGCTCGAATAACGCTGAAATAAATCAAATTGCATCATGAGATGTAAATACTACATATGTCGGCCACCTGCAATTCTAGCGCAACTATTCAATTGGTTGAGTCAACGTGGATGAAAAATAAATTCACACAAATATTCAGGACATTCTTTGATATTTTAAACAATTATAAATTATCCATCATTATATGATAATGGGAATAAAATATGAAATTCTGCATTAACCCATTCGTCCCTTCCTGAATTTATTGGTTACGCTAAATGTTTATTCTGTTTTTCATATGAATTCGCAACATTTTGTTAAGCCACAAATACGAATTCCTAATTTGTTTCTTTCAATTCGTATTACATTTCAAATCCACTTCAAGTAATTCGTATCTTATTTATGAACGCTACAAAACGTGCACTAGCATACATATCGAAATTAATGGAAAAGTTATTTTGAATTATATTGATAGTCCTTAAAAGTTTCAATAATTACCTTGCACATGCATTGCTTTGTGTGTAGTTTTTTTATTATTTTGGGTCTGAATACACCACGTTTTTTATGTAATAAACCTATTCTTCCAAGGATTGAATGGACAAAATTTGCATGTGATTACATTTTACAGGTAAATTTAAATCTAGGATTAAATAAACAACATTTTTCGAATACGACTGTAACAACATACGATAACCCACCGTTTTCCAGGGTTGGATGTGTATTTATTTTTTCTAGGATTATTTGGATTATTAGCCAAATAATCAGGATTATAATATATATTTATATTTGGATTATTATCCGAAATATATTTATTTATTAAATATTTGGATTATTATCCAAAAAATAATCAGCAACTCCCCGACGTCCCGTGTATTTGGATTATTATCCAAATAATCAGGGTTATTATCAGGGTTGTATTTATTTTCTAGGTTTTGATAGAGATCGTCAACAATCAACGACATTTGTTGGCCGCTACTTCAAACGGCGGTGACCGCGAGTTAGAGAAATGATCCGCTGTCTCGTCGTCCCTCTGTCCCGACATTCATTAAAGAAACTCCCGCGTGGGAATCATGGTGAAAGCGCTCATTTGCTGGGAAAATTCCCACGAGATATTGGGAAGAGTGTACTGTGTTTTGTCCTAGAATCTATGGCGTTGATGATGTAGGAAGAGTTTCGCACATAGGTCCTTCACTACGCGATTACAAGCACGTATATCTCCAGGACAAGGAGCTATACACCAACCGTTATTCGTATCTGCAAATGAAAGAATAGTCTCCTCTACTGTACAGCTTCAATATTAATGCTGAGCCATTTGTCTCATCGCGGTGAATATTTTTGAAAATTTAAAAAATAGGCCCTTAAGCATTAAAAATATTTTCAAATATATATATTTATATTTGTCGATTTTATCAGTAATATCAGCTACTATCGTATGAGTGCCAGCGTATATGAGGCCATTATGGCAAATTAATAGCATAGGTCAATCTCTGCTGGTGACCTTATGAGGAAAAACCTGATGTTTTTTTGTATTTACATTTAATTCTAGTACTTAATTTTTCACTTATTCCATGAAATTCGAGATCTGCACACATTCGATTTCCTTGCGATTTGACTTTCCGTATTTTTAGCGCTTCTTCTCATCAATGGAAAAATGCACTACTGTGCTCGCCATGTCCGTCTGTACGTCTGTCCGTGACTTCACGTTTTCGTCGACGAGAAAATGCGCTCTCTATCACTCACTGCAGTAAGTACTGAGTTATTTTTTTTTGTATTACCTGTATCATTACTATTTTCACAACCCTTTACTCTGAATATCTAGACCCGCCTGAGTGCAGATCTTCTCCCAACATCAGTGTCGCGCTTGTCAGCTTGTTCTAGAAAGACAGCAACCAAATCACAAGCTCTTATCTAAGCCGATTGCCGACTCCATGCCGCGCTAAACCTCAACTCCACAGACCAAATGGCAAACTTCGGTAAAGCTGCAGATGTCTTGCAGATGTCTCCCACCTCCAAAGCTCTAGCGCATGCCTGTGCTGAGGACAGCTCCACGCAGCCTTTAAGAGAAGGTAATCCTCGCAGGCATGTCCAGCTTGACGCAAGATCAGGGCCGTACTTCTCGATTGGCCGGCGAGTGTATTGAGGCCCTGCTCTGCGGCGGCGCTGGCCCTGCGCTGTTCAAGTGAGTGCGTTTAAATGTAATGTTGGAAGAGAAATGCTCAAATGTCGCCAAACGCAGAAGCGTCAACTCTATAGTGTTTCATCCGTGTATCTAAATTACTTATGTATTACAATTTTGCTACCAGCCTCTCTCAATTTAAATCTGCATGTAGATAAGTTAAATAAAAATTGTGAATTCAGTTCACATTTATGCTCTACTTAGCGTGAAATATGGAATGAATTCTGGACAAATTGTTTCGTACTTTTGAGACGTATCATTTATTGAGACCGCGTAGCGTCCTGTAGAATTTCAGCCATAAAAAAACATTGCCGTCGCTCAATTCGAGATATCATCTCTGATTCTTTGAACTTTAATGGGATTTGAAATTACATGTCGTAATTTGTATTCCATGATGCGCGAAGAGCCTTTCTTACGATTACACGTGCCGTTTTTCAATATTTTCATGATCGAACCGATATTATATAATTATACAATATGCATTATATTACGTGATAACGTGAAAGTAGAACGTTTCTGCATAGCACTTTCTGACAGATGTTCCTTGCTTCGTAGAGGTCTTGTTTAGTTTCAAAATAGATACACATTGTGTGCTTGTATGCTTTAAAATTAAACTATATTGTATTCTGTTAAGCTACCTGTACTCCGAGGATATTCTTTATAGTCTAAAGGTTGAATGTTCCAGTGACGGATAATAATGATTGCCAATCCATATGTTGATTGAATAACCCAACGGAGGTTTTTTATTTTTGTCAATGACCGTTTTTTTGGTGACGTGTGTGTGTGCAAAATGTATATATCCGTGGTGCGATTGATTTGATCGATTAAAGCTGATTTGAATAGCATTTAATAATAGGTCAATCTGGTTTCAAGATGATATGATGCACAATCTGATGTTATGAACCTGCAATAATTTTATTGAGCATTCATGCCTCTAGTGTTGAGAGAGGTGAAAGGTAAGTGACCTCAAACCATTAGTTTACATGACAGGAGTTTGGTTGCCATATAAGGAATGATACATTTGGATCTACTTTTTACAATTAAAGAAAGAACTTACTTCGAACAGAGAGTTTTTTGCGATTAATTGATTCATTAGTGAATCTGATATGCGCGAGGCAAACAAAAAAATATATATTCCCTGAAATCTGTGGTTTCAGCTCTGTATTCCAGGGATTTCGAAAGACTTTACGCTCAGCGTTGAGTTCAGGCGGTAACATGCTCTGTTTTGTGATACTTTGTGATTGATGATGCCTGTTTTAAGCTTGGCTTTAGTGGCGCTGTTGGGGCGCGTATACATAATAACTACAGGTTGAGATATCACCAGGAACTGGAATTTTATTTTTTTTTCTGTAACGCAATCATATATATTAAAAAATTCGTATTGCTGGGGGTTGGGTGTTGGAAATCAAGTAAACAATTAAAATTAGATTTTATTTCTTGCAAGGGTAAATTATTTACGAATTAAAAAGCTCAAGTTCCTTGTACATTTTAGAACGGGACTTTAATGGGAGTTCCGTGGCAAACATCAGGTTTGACGGGTCTTCCTTTAATTATTACCTCTTTGCCATGAAATTAATTAATGACATCCGGGGAAACGGAAGAGAACAAACCCGCGCCTCAAATATCTGGGATCATGTATTCTGAGCACCGCTGTGTTGTGCTGCTAGCGTGAGATAACAATTGTGCAAGGAGGGGGGAACGGGAACGTTTTTTATTCTGAAAAAGATTAAATTTCGGATCTGGATTCCCCAAAATTAATAGTTAGGATTATAATGGTCCAGTAATGTGGTGCTGTAAACGCTTTCTTCCCGAATGAGATGTCATTTAGGTACAGTTTTCCCTAGCATTAACATTTTCGATAACAATTGTTAAGCAACATGGTTATGTGTACGCTTCATTCCTGAAAAAATGTGATTTAGGAACAGCGTTTCTCAGTATTAATATTTAATGATAATTTATCATTGAGGTATTAATGTGAACGCTGCCAAGATGTACTAGTTTGTGAATTGGGTTCTCGACCTCAATATTAAAAAATATAACTCGGTACCCATCACTGCAGTGAGTGACAGAGAGCGCATTTTCTCGTCGACGAAAACGTGGTCACGGACGGACGGACAGACGGACAGACATGGCGAGCACAATAGTGCATTTTTTCCATGAATGAGAAATTGCGCTAAAAATCACTCTTCAAATGTCCTGTGGTCAGAGAGGTTCAACGCATCAACCTGAGTTCCATCAGTACAAGAATATTAAATGCTCCATACCTACATTATATATAGTTTCTTCTGCTTTAATACCCTGAACTTGGTGAACACATCGCATTATGTCCGAAGTATTTCAAAATTTAATAATGTTAATAGCTAAGCATGTTTAGATATTACTGCGAATAATTTTCAAATTCCGAAATAGAATGGAGAGTTAGGATTAGAACTTATTAATGGATAGCTATTAGTATCGATATTAGTACTGGTAGAAAGGTCCTTATTAATGGATAACAGTAGAATCGGAACCTCGTAAAATGAATAACAGGATATTTCTACGGCATAATTATAGGCAGGCTGCGCGAGTGTGAATTCCCTCATGTTAATATATGTTTTAATAATGAATGCATCGAGCTAATGTCTAGTAGCTAGCAAAATTAGAGACCTGGGAAAGTTGGAAGTGAATTACAGTTGGACGAACTGTTTCTTGATATGGTGTGAGCCTGGAGTTCACGATTGAGGAATGACAATAATTTAGTAAAATCGTTAATACGTACTTTGTAATTTCAATCTTCTCCATAACGATTGTATGGAATCATTCATAAAACATCGCTTGCTTAACCCAGTACGAAATTTGAGCTATCACATAACTAATTCTAACAATAGTCTAGAAATCGCCTCCTCCAAGAATTCTTCATCGATGATGATTCAGTTCTATTCAACGATTTCGATTGAATAACTTCAGATCTTGATGAACTTTTCCACTTCAAATTAGGTCCCGTAACATTGCATTAGTTTCCGGTTTTCTAAGCCAGAATCCAGCGGCCTACTGAGATTCCAGCAGCTTGGCGGAGGTCACGTTCCGCCGATAGTTTTGTTAACAGCTTTACAGGCGCGTCGTGCCGGCGATAGCCGCTGCATTAAAGACCTCCAGGTTTGTCCTGGAGCAGCGGGCCAAAAAAGTAACCTAAATTGATGATCCCAACTCAAAATTTCAGCGAAGTGCGCCGTTGACGTGTTTTTTTTTTTTTGCATTTTTCACAATTTAATGTTTTTAATGGCGGTCGTTACCATAATTTTTTACGCAGTTAATTTTTTTGACTTTCACGGTCGTTGACAGACATTTTTCTCGGTTTTCTGGGTTTAGCTTCTTTGATGGGCGAATTGAAATACTTTATCGCAATATTTTTTATAGGATATTATTACTTCTTAGAAGGCCCTTGGCCATCGTTTTCAATACACAACGCGATTAATATTCAAGTTTATTTCTAGCAGTTCAGTAACTGAAATGTATTAATTGTGACTGACGACGATTATTTTTTGCTATAATTTCAATTTTGGCAAATGCAATAAACAGGCGAAATATTTTCAGGAATTCAAAGTACTTCTAAATAAGGTTTGTTTTGATGATAATCTTTCCAGTAATAATACAACTTTTTTCTGAACTGAATATTATTAATGTCCAACATTAATTTGGCGTTGATATGTATAAAATGTTCGGTGGGCGCATGGAAAAACGTCCCAGACAAAACATATCAAGTTCTAGACGGCGAATGAAAGTTTACATCGTTAGCGAGCGCGTTCATTTAATGAGGAAAGTATCGCCAGAAAAGCTATAAATTTCCGCCTTCAATGAAGTAAACGAAAATTGTTTGAGATTCCTTTCATTGTGGTTACTTCATCACTGGCAGTGTAGTTACTTAATTACTTGCATTGCGGTTACTTTATTACATGCGAATTTTTGCTGCTGCCTCCATGCTGGGCGTCGCATTTCTTGAAGCGAGGCGAGGGTGCTAATTTACATAAATTAAAAAAAATATAACTCAGTACTCACTGCAGTGAGTGACAGAGAGCAAATTTTCTCGTCGACGAAAACGTAAAGTTACGGACAGACGGACATGACGAGCACAATAGCGCCTTTTTTCCATAAATGAGAAAATGCGCTAAAAAGTATAAATATTTCATTCGGGTGAAAGTCCAGATGATAATTTTTAACATCAATGTATTACAAGTTATAATTAAATTCAGTCCCTGTGTATACAGAAGCCTCAAGTAACAGGGTAAATTCAAGCCTCTGGCTTGACTAATCCCAAAACTAAGCCAAGATCCGGAGTGCAAGTCCATCTTGTGTGCATGGAGTTTTCACTCCAAGTTTCAGCGGCAAAGTTTCTCATTAATTTCAGTGCGAATTTTTTGCGGCAACTTTTCGTGGCAAGTCGGCGAACGCGCAAGGCGGCCGTGATGCGCTGCTTGCACCATTATTTTTTTTAAGGTTTTTGACAGCAGATAATTTTTGGTGCATCATCGCGTATGTTTTGCAAGTTCAAACTTCCAGTTGCGGCTTTCGTGAAGCTCATGATCAGCAATGTGACCTGAAATGTTGACCTTGCAATAATTTTTTTAGTGAGGGATCTATTAATTTGACACGTATTTAAGGTTCAGTGTATTGATGTTCATAAGGTTCAGTGTATTGATGTTCATAAGGTTCATATCGTATTGATGTTCATAAGTTTCAGTGTATTGATGTTCATCCAGCGCTGCTGCAAGTCCATGCACTCATGTATGGCCAGTGCTGCTGCTCAATGTTTTTTTTAAATAAGAGTACATGTAACTTGACATTTTTGTTCAAACACAAATGACGGGATGACTTTAATTCAGATACAGATGATTTTAATGCATTGATCATGATAAGACAAGTAAAAAATTAGACTTTGGTACCGTTAGAGACCACTATATATCAGCAATATGTTGCTTTGTCGTATCTCATTTGTTTGTAAAATAATGTTATAGTAAAATTATTCGAACGCAGTTAATTTCAAAAAGTTTTGGCATTCATATTGTTATGTTTGCTTAGATTTAATCCATCGGTAGTTTCTAATTTACCAATTATTTATTCATAGTTATTTATTCTGGCCTCATCGCGGCGACGCTCTGGCCGCGACGAGAGTGAAGATTGGCGTGTGATCTTCAGCATGGCGGCTCCAATCTTCAATAGACCAACGGTTAATTTGATGAAAGCGCAGTTTCACATCTGCAGCCGATATCACAATGCTATTCGTACCTGTTATCGGTCACGGGAAACGGGTGACACTTCCCACGTGTCGCCGCCACAGCCAATGCGCATGTCGCACTCACCCATCGACGACGGATGCAGTAGGGCTTTGTGACGCTCAGGACGACGTGGATGTTTTGAATTACGGACTATTGCATATTATGGCTCATATTGCGCGGCTTTTTATGGTCTTTGCATGGCAATTATATGTTGTGTGTAGGGTGGGGTATTTTTTGCCATGGAATCTGTGTTTTGATGATGGCAGAGGTCATACAAATCGTCTGGAGTTGACTTGAGGATATTTTAACTTAATGCACGAGGTATGTGGAAGTGTTGCTCTCTGCGTCTGGTGACGTTAGTAAATTTGTGTGTTATAGAGCTTTATTATCACGTGTTATGCTGGTATAAATCATGACATCCCTTGTACACAGGCTTTGTCACACTTCATACCATTCACAGAATATACGAGTCATCCTCGAATCATTCCTTGTCATTCTACTCAAAGGAAATGAAAAAGTTCGATCAATTTAATTTGTAAAATTTTCACTGCGAATTTGAAGCCGATTTAAATTTCAGATTACATGGGCGATTTAGTGAGGGAGAGGAGGGGAGGATTGCTGATGCCTGTTGCCTAGGCAAATTTAAGGCATCGCCTCCCTATTTGAATCTCGGTGGTTTCCAACAAACAAGCTCTTGCTGACTATTAACCATAATTGAATAATTTTTGGAGGCTTGCTTGCCGTACAATCGCCATCCCATACCATAAATCAGCATTTGTATCTGTTTGATCATAGCCTCATTTTCTTCATCATAGCGCTATTGATTTTTAACCTAATTCAATTTCTATGAAAATTGTGAAGAAATGCCAGGGCCGAGACTGCCTCAGTCTCGTTGCAGGCGTCAAGGCCGAGATTATATGCCCGGAGTTAATACGAACCCTATTTCTGTGCATATGAAGTTGGTTTATTGCTTTTCGCTTTGTTTTTGCTCTTCCTGTGATCGTGAAAAGTTTACTCATTACTACGGCCATGCATGAATCAACTACCGACGATTTGGCCACCGCTAGAAATAATCGTACAATAACTTGTAATGAAGACCGCCTGTTCTACCGCAATAGACATAACCTGACTTGAAAATACCAAGACTTCACTTGTCATATATAAGTTAAGTTGCCACCTGGCATGCATTCCTGGCCATCAGCTGCACACTCCAGCACCAGCTGCACACTCCAGCACCAGCTGCACACTCCAGCACCAGCTGCACACTCCAGCCACCAGCTGCACACTCCAGCCACCAGCTGCATACTCCAGCACCAGCAGCACACTCCAGCACCAGCTGCACACTCCAGCCACCAGCTGCACATTCCAGCCACCAGCTGCACACTCCAGCCACCAGCTGCACACTCCAGCCACCAGCTGCACACTCCAGCCACCAGCTGCATACTCCAGCCACCAGCTGCACACTCCAGCCACCAGCCAAAGACAAGCCCCCGGACGCTGTCTCTCAAAAGTTCCTCCCGCATCCGAGTGTACAGCACAAGTTCTCCGCCGAGGTCCCGGAGCTAATTTATAAGACAATTCTTCGCACGATCTCGTCCGTAAAAATGCGACGCGGAACCGAAAACTGCGGAGTTCCGGCGACGGCGTAAGGCTTAAATGAAGATCTTGACGAAACTTAATCAATTCGGAAATAATACCGAAGCAATTGGTCTGTTAGTATAAATGTTACGTGTTTTAGTTTACGCGGAGGGAATTTTGGTGTCGTCTGTCATTTATTCATACTTAGATATAATATTATTTTCTTTGTTTCATGTTTTATTGGCGTCAAGCATGAATAAATAAATTGATTTCGCACATAGGTGAGAGAAATAGAAATTTTGAAATTTATTATTATTTAACCCTGACGACATTATATTATCTGTTTCTCGTTTTTCTGTAATCAAATATATTAATCATCGCCACGGCGTGTACAGTAATAATTTGTTATATATATATTAACGTATAATGTGTGTATTGCAATATAGAGCATTTTAAGCGGATTACTCGTTTAAGATATCCTATTATGGTATTCATATTAATTTCAACGAAGGATTTAAGCAGTAATTTAGCCGAAAAAAGTTTACAAAATCTGAAATGTAAAATATTGCGAAGCTGCATCAAGTAACTAAGAAACTAAACAACTTTTCATCATGAAAAGCAAGGCAGTTTTTTTTTCAGGCGCCATGTTAGAAAAATAAAATAAAACTTAGGAAGAGTTAAAGAAAATAAATTGATTGACTCCATGTCTCGCATAATTATAATAGTATTGTATAATTGACGAAAAAATTCAGCTAATTACGCCCTACTAGAACTTGCAGTCCATTTAGCCCCTTTCATGTCAAAGAAAGAATTACCTCAGAAATATCCCTACATGAAAAGGCTTCACATTCAAAGGGAAGCTCAGCCAAATAGCATGAATACAATTAAATAAATTGAGCAGGTCAATCCGCCGAGACGACCAGCACCCTGAGACGGTGAGCAAGATACAGACTTCAATAAAGTCTAATGCGGCACACGGAGCTAAAGTCTAACTTGAAGCTCCCAGACTAACTTTGAATTCCTTTCAGAGGGAACCCTTTAGCAAATTAACTTCAAGAACTGAATAATGAATTAGTCTTTTTTTCGCTTTCAAAATTATAATAATTTGTATAAACATTATTAGTGCAGCGTTTGAACTGAAAACGTATAAATCAAATTTTCAAAATAAGTGTAAGTAAAATTGAACATTTTAATTAAAATCAATCAAACAATAAACGTTGATTGATGCAAATCACGATACATAAATTGAACGTTTGTAATGAATACATCAGTATAGGCTTCTCGGGATGAGCGCGAAAATAAGAAAATGAATTTAAAATATGAGATCAGAGATTGTCATTACATTTTCACTAGACTTTAGAGACCAATATTCTGTAATGCTCCCCATTCGCGACCGTAATTCAGATAGAAAGCAATTAAGGTAAGACCAAAAGAAGTAATGAGAACTTTAATTTCCGAGACGAAACCGACGTGAAAGGCAGGTTGCAAAATTAGAACTAAACCACGCCGCTTTTTATCTAATTAAGAATGTTTTCTCGGTTGCTGCGAACGCTGCTGCAGTTGTTGCTGCTTATCCGCTAGTTCTAGGAAACAGTCAGGGTTTTTCAGTTGATGTCAAGACACGCGGACGAAAAAGTCTGGAATTTGGGGTTATAGAATGAGTTATTATGTCGTTGCAGTTACTCAAAAATACTTCGGTAATAATCAACTTTTAATTAATAAATATATAGGATTCATTGTTAAACTAAGGTTTCAGTGGATCTTTATATACGTAACTACCATTACAGCAGTTGAATCATTATCCTGATTAGTGGAAAGTTGATTCGAACCATGAATTGTGGAATTTTAGGAACACTGTATTTTCAACAGTTCTAGGTTTTTTTATTCGTGTTTCAATGAAAAATGAAGCGCTTCTATATATAATGATACCCGAACATCATCATACTTTTGCAAAATGCATATTTTACTTAACAAAATTCAACTATACAAACAATGCCACAAATGTTTTGATAATATACGCAAAAAAAAAATAAATTTTCCCTTTGAATTTTTCAGATATGATTTATTTGTTCTATTAAATAAACTGGATATTCATCACTTTTAGATTTGAAATAGTGATTTCAAAATCTATCTATGAACATTTTGAGTTCGATTGTCGGAGTGCTATTTAAATTTTTTCAACCATCATCAGTAGCATCACTGAAAAATGCTGGCGGTGAGATCCGTCCACTGGATGCAGCAGGGCTGCGTCTTAGCCGCAACACGGCCGCATTTTAGCCGCGTTGCAGCCGTGCTGGCGCTGCTTGCCTTCGGCTCACTTGCGCAGGCTGGGGGCGGTCGGCAGATTTTTGGCGATCCAGGAGACTTAAACGACTTGGGGCACGCCATCGATGTTTATTTATCCGAACAAAACATCGTAAGTGCCTATGAAGAACTTCTATTTGCAACTGATGTTAGGCTCTGAGAAGGCATTTTTAGTTGCTTTGTAGTTGCTTGAATTTTAGGTGCTTCACTTGGCATATGATAGTCAATTATTGATTATTGAAAAAAAAGTCTTCGGTAAATGAAATTGCAACAAATCTAAACGCGAATTCCTATGTTTGTTTCATTGTATTTCTTTCCACTTCTTTACTAATTAGCGTATGTAACAAATACAAACTTGAAGATGTATAAGAATAGCAACAAGTTCCACTGCACTGAACACCCACAGGACGCTTCAGAAGTGGCCCATCGTCGGGCCAAGCGCTACCTGAGCTTCCCTCCGAGCTCCACGGCCAAAGTCAAGACTCAGATAACCGTTCCCCTCTTCGACGAGTATGACTCATACGTCAGTGAGTTAAGCTTATTGACTAATAAATTTTGTTCCTAAGTATCGAATAATTGAATTTAAACTCAAGTCTCACATTTATTTTACTCGTTAACATTTAACCGTTCCTCTCTTCGACGAGTATGACTCATACGTCAGTGAGTTAAGCTTATTGACTAATAAATTTTGTTCGTAAGTAATGAATAATTGAATTTAAAATCAAGTCCCTCATTTATTTTACTCGTTAACATTTTTACGGATAGATGAAAAAATGAAAAAGCTTTGTAGTGTAGGTATTTCTAGAAGGTAACTGGAGTTAATCCTTCGTTGTTTTCAATTACAATGTTTTTGGGTTTGATGGTTCTCGATGAACGTTTGGTTCTTAACTCAGGTTCTTATGAACGTGATGAATGTTTGATGAACGTTTGGTTCTTAACTCAGGTTCTTATGAACGTGATGAACGTTTGGTTCTTAACTCAGGTTGAGGCTCGAAAGAAAAATTTTATTATCAAATAAGGGTTTTCATGTTAAGTGTACGGCAGTATACGAGAGGTGAGTTCAGTTAAAGATAAAAATTTGAATCCTTAAATAGGTAGAAATTACAAAGACCTATCCACATCAATTGCAGTTCAATGCATGTCTTGAAACTGAGTGCTTAATAAATGGAACATTTCTTAAAAATGTATATACACGTTTTGGATTATATAATTGAACGATCTAGCACGGTCGAAACTGTAATTTGAAAAGCATGGAACCCTACACTGAAAGGATTTTATTTTGTTCATTAGTTGTAATTAAAAATCAAAGACTATTATCCGCAAAAATTAAAAAAAATGCATAAATTTAAAGATTTTTATCAATTGCTACTAAAAATTCTCGTTCGGGCAAAAATTTGGAGCAAGCTTTTGCTAAGTAACATGTTCGCTTCGTGTTACAGAGGCGACATTCAAAGGCTTCGCCACGTGGTCGTACAGCCTGCCTACGAACTTTGTGACGCTCGGCAGATCGCTGTCAGATGCGCGTGTCGCTGACAGGGACACATCGCGCGCACGACGCGCGTGCAGCGTAGCTGAAGGTCGTACGCGCGCTTACGCTGCCATAGAGAACGCCTTCGAAAGGTAAAGGCAAAGCAGGATGACGAAATTTTAGTTGTTTCAAATAATAAATTCTGTTTGCTAAAGGGGTGAGGCGAATTGAGAAGGATTGGGAACAAGAATTGTGATGAATGTAGGAGCTAGATCTAGGGATAGTATCGCAGGATATTGTAGCTAATGAACGATAGCAAATATAATATTGATGAGAAATGCTCAGAGTTTATTGATTATGGTGAACAAATTTGCAATTATATAAACAGATCTAATTTTCTTGTATATAAGTCTCTATATATTTATTGCTGTAATCAAGCTGTATTCAGTGTAGTGTCAGAAAGATATTATTTGTATTATTTGTTATTCAAGAGTGAAATAGTTTATGGAAATTATTAACAAATAAGGGAAAATTCCTAATGATTATCATGCCATGAATTACAATAAATTTGAATGCATACAAGTTCCTTACACTGAAATTGAATTTTTTTGTGAAAGTGAAATGTTAAAATTAATTTAAATTTAATAAAAATTTCAGGCATAACGAACTTGAAATGCAAATAAGAAGGCAGTGACTCGGGCAGACATTATTTGTCGTTGGAACCTACCTAGCTTATCAAGGGAAGATTCTAGAGATGAAGTTTCGTGTTTCTAAATAAACTTCTCTAAGGATTAAAAAAAAATTGCCTGATAGGGCAATAAAACATTCAACGGGCAGCGCGGATGTTTTAGATGCTCCGAGTAGAGTGCGTTCAGAAGTTTTGTAAATTATAGCCCAATTGTGTTGGGCTATTAAGCTGTTGATGTTTCGTAAATATCAAAGAAGTTAACCCAATCAGCATTTATAAAAAACTGCTCAATTCTAAATTGATTTTCCGTGAATGTTTGAGAGGTACAAAGCGGTGTCAACGCAGAATTGGTATCGGGAGTCCCCTTCAAGTCGACATTTTTTCCCGATCAGTAAACGGATCGATCTTGCAGTCCCGATCCTGCCAGATCAGCCATTCATCTTTCACCGTGGAGCTGCTGAGCAGCGTCTTATCTCAAAGGCTTTTATCTCAGAGGAGAAATGGCGGCCGTTAGAGATAAGATGTCGCTGGATAGCTAACGATAACATCAGCTGCGTAATGCAAACGTTTATGCCGACTTTAAACGAGGCTAGCGACGAGGTTTGGATCACTCGCAGTTAAGGGAAATGAGCACGCCAGGGGCGAGGTGAAGCGTCTAACGACGTGTACAGAGAGCATTAATATAGCAGTGCTCTCCCTTTAAACGGAATGAGAAGCTAAATGAGATATAGACGACTAAAAATTATAGAATTTCTACACTGACGTGTATTTTGGCCGGAAATATTTAAAAAATATCAAAATGAGCAAAGTTTCACAGATGGAGAAATAAGTAAATGAAAATAAATATAGTTTGAAACTGGAGAGTTTTGACAATAATCAGCACAAGAATATTAAAATGAGCAAAATTTCACTCACCAGAGACTAGGGATTGATGATGAGGTATTCGCAGATATGAGGGATTCGTAAAAAATTACATAATTATTTAGGAAAAAATATATTATGATATTAATATGTGCATAATTTCGATCAGCGGAAAATTGCTTTTTCTACCAAGAGCTGGGCAATCTGAGGGCAAGATAATACTTTTACGTAATAAAATAAAAGGAATTATAACATTACAATCTTGCCGCTAAACATTCATATTGCATCCCAGTCATTTAAATTTGTTCATGATTGTGCTGGTTTGAAATAAGAAATTTGCCCTCAAAAAACTTTCATTGTTCCATTGAATATTCCTTTCACACTTCAGTCATCCTTGTGATCCTCGCATGCTTTCCTACCCGAAGATAGTTATTAAACCTTCCCCAATTTCTTTCACGATTTTCTATCATTTCCTTCTAAAAATATACAATAATACAACCCTTTAATATACCCGAATGCCAACCCCTTACAACGATCCGATACCCTTTCTATCGCATCAACGACTTACCCTCCTATTGACTTCGATGATTATCATTGACATTAACCCCAACAATGATTTTGCCCCTTTTAAACATGAACTTTCCATATCAACCTTCATAAATTATTTGTCTCATCTCATCCCTAATCACTTATTTTTCCATTATCAACCCTCATCAATAATTTATTCCCATTTCAACCAACATCAATGATTTATTCCCATCTTAATCTGCATCAATTATTTTTCCATTATCAATCCTTATCAATGATTTGTCCCATCTCATCTCTCATCACTTATTTTTCCATTATCAACCCCTCATAAATTATTTGTTCCCATATCAACCAACATCAAGGATTTATCCCCACCTTAACCCGCATCACTTATTTACCCCATACTAACCCCACAACCCCTGCCTGCCCTGGTGCAGCGTGGGGCTGCCGGGCGAGGGCTGCATGCTGAGGGCTGTGTGCCAGGCTGCGGCTGAGGGTCTGCCTGAGGGCTACGGGCTGCTCGGCGAGATCACCGCTATGCTCCTCGCGTATGTACCCTCGGAGAAAATAATGTATGAATGTACCCTCGTATGTACCCTCGGAGAAATTAAGGGGTCATATTATCAAAATAGTGACACATTGTCTGCACGTACCACTGACACTGGATCTGGATGAGCCATGCCAGGGCAAAGATGCATCGCCATTTGTACAAATTTTCACTTTATTCTGTGGGTGCAGGTGCCCAGGTTTGGAGCATGGCTTCTAGCTCGCGAATTTTTCTAATCACACTGAAAAACACTTATTCAATAAACACGTTTTAAATAAGCATCATATAAAGTGCATCATTTAAGTGAGTTGGAGAATGAAACAGAAGAAAAATCGTTCGTCATGAACGCTTCAATGTTCTTGCCAAAATAAATTGGAATTTTGGATAGGGATTTTTTGGACTGGAATTTTGAGATGAGAGAGAGAAGTTTTTGAAAAATTATACAGAATTCAATCATGAGTTAAGAAATGGGAAAATAATTCTCCAGGCTGTTTCAATAAAGAAGCTATAATGATTTTCGATAAAGGAATGTAATTCACTACGATGTTTAAATAAAAGAAATCTGTGTTTTTTAGACCACTGCACGACCTGGACAACACGACGAGCGCCGTGCTGGGCAGCTACACGGCGGCCGAGCGTCGGGGTCACGACACTGGCGACTGTGACACCGTGTACAGTGACTGTCCTGTACACCTCACTGACCTCGTACATTCTGCAGTAACTGTACTTCACGGCCAATATTACAGGGGCAAACTGTTGTTCTGAAAATGAGCATTGCATCATAACTGCCAATTTGTTCGCATTATAGGCCAGTAATCGCACAACTTTTTCCATGATGTCAGTGTTACTGTTATGATTATAGTGGTGTAATTTCATAGTATTACTGGCGTAATATCAATATTACGCTCATGATACCAGTATTACTGGTAAGTAGTTTATATTACTGGTAAGATATTAAAATTACTTGCATTAGGCAGCAGAATGTAAGACATATTATTTCGTTCGATGCTGTTGTTGAGAATTTTTTTTTTATTTGCAGTCATCCACGAAAAGTTTCTTATATTTGTTAATTGGCGGAGGGTTTGTTGTCTTTTGACTCGGGTTTGTTAATAATAGATATTCGTTATTGATTATTTCTGATATTTATTTACCGTCAACACATAACTGCTGATGATCTGTAACAGGAAGCCAAAAGTTACTTAAAACTGCCCGTTGTTGGTTACAAGTCGCTGCTATTATTATCTGCTTATCATTAGGAGGAACTTGTATCTGCTCTTTAGAGACGTCCATGAGACGTTAGAGGCTTGGTATTATTATTACTTATATGTTTTAGCGCATTTTTTATTTTAAGAGAGGTGATTTTAACTGGGTATTTTTATTACTTATTTGCTACTCTAGGCGTCTTGAAACAGTAACAGTGAGTTGAGTTTACTGTAGTCAGCAATTATATGCTCTGGATTCAACTGTTGTCTACTATTTCTACTACGACAATTAAAGCTCAGTTGTCTGTACTGAATCCCGATGACTGAGTGGTCGGGTGAGCTTCTTCTTGAACCGAGTAGGCAGTGAGAGTAGTAGATTATGATTTAACAAACCTAGATAATTTTTTCCCCTACCGAGACATTCTTTTCCTTCAAAGTATTTTGGAAGTCGGCTATCGCCTGCGAAACAATTACATTTTTAAGACTTTCAGCGCAGAAACAAATACTCTAAAATAATTTTACTAAATTCATTAGCTCCTTACACTTTAACATTCACCAGCTTTTATTGAATGGCCGGCGATAACACGACTGTGATGCAGGCACTGGGCCAGTGATGTGGCATGGCTGAATTAAGTAGACTTTAACGAGGCGATATGTTGTGTTGAGCGGCGTCGTAATGGCGCCAGTGACGGCGTATAGCCGTTAATTGCCGACGCGCGCTTCCCAAGGTTAGATCCAGGCTAAGTTATTGCTTGGAAATAACCCGTTAGGGAATTCAATTTAAATTAGATTGATTGCGTTAGACATTATAAACGAATTTTCGATGGATACTGGACGATTGAAAAACTTTTTATTCCTTAATAAATTTTGCCCGAGATTTGTGTTGGGTATATTGTTTCGAAACTCTTGATTGATGGCCTTTTTTGGGTCGCCTCCGTCTCCCTTAAGCGCTACAGGAGATGCTGTCGTTTTCTTATTTGAATCAAAGTACCCGTGGCAATGCAGATGTTTTTAACTCCACTTAAAGAGAGGTGTAAACGGTTTGTTAGAAACAAAAGATTCTTCAGGGACACATGGGATTTCCCAAAGGTTTTCTATGAGTACTCTTTTCTTACAAAAAACTAACACTTATATTGAATTTTGCTCTGGCTGCTATTCGTGCGTTTGACACGTTACGATCATATTATTTACGCCCGTTGGACACGTTATTTCCCGAATCAACACAGAATTATGACACTGACTTCAAAAATCGCACGCTGAGGAACCATGTACCCAAGTCACTTATTTATGATCCCCACACGTGGGGAAGAAAGGGACTTAAGTGAAGGAAGTTTTCCGTGTTCCGCAAAGTTATACTGTAGACTCCGAGCAATTAGTGCCTCGGTGCACTCGTAATTGCTGGACGAAATAGTCAAGATAACGGAGTTCTATCTCAGATTAGGAGTCAGGCCAGAGTGAAGTTAGCACTGTAGGGAATCTAGAATATGAGGCGCTCGGCACGTAATAAAATATTTAGTGTACAACTATCATAAGTTTACTAACAGACACTTGTAAAATCATACGTCAGGTATCATATGTACAATAAAGATGAGCTATAAGTCAATCGTTATAGTGTTAGTAATGGAACGGAGTTCAAAGATTTTACATCGGGCATCAAATAACATATAACTTCTCTACAAATTTCGTTGATGTTCCACACATGTTAATATACTTTTAAATTCATTTTCTAACTTTGAGGCAGTTTTATGGATAGGGCTTTGAATTTAGAACGATTTTTTTGTAATCCAGTTTCACCAAAAAGATTGACTTATTCGCTGAAAAGCTGATTGTCTTCTGTATTGATAAAAAAAATCCGTAATCAGCGTTTAGAAAAACCAGATCACGTTGTTCGTTTAGTCCTTTAGTCTTTTTTTGTCGGCTGTATAAATCCTTGTGTAGCTGAATTCATCAGTACACACACAACAGATCATTTGTATAGGCAAGATGAAACATGGCGGTAGTAATAAATAATGAATTTTCATTTCTTTTTCAGTGAACCAATTTAAATTCAGTTTTGAAACTTACAAAATAAAAGAATATTGTTCAAAATGAATTGCGAAAGCGAGCGCATCCAATTTTTATTTGTATTAACAAAAATTAAAAAGCAAAGAAAATTCCTGGAAAGTACATTTCATGCAAATTTACTCGATTTTCTTAGTTTTTAATTTATTGAATAATTTGTGATGTAATTTGAATTTTACATAATGCTTTTTGTCTTTAATATTTGTGAAATTCACTTTGCTGTGCAGCATTTAAATATATTTCTGTTTATCAATCAGAATATGAAATAAAGTCTGTCAATGATACGTCGCAACTGATATAATGATAGAGACCTTATTTCATATTTTGATTGTTAAGCCGATGGATATTTAAAATGCGGCATAGGAAAATTAGTAGTGAATTTCTCAAATACTTAATTAAAAAGTATGAGAAATTTGTTTATTGCTTTTATTTAGACGGAATAAACTATCGATGGAAAATCAGCAACATATGAATTAAAATATTCTAATATGTGTGATGAATAATTTAATGCGAACAAAATAATCTAAATACTTGCATATAATCGTGTTCTATTTCGCATTCTACACGCAATCGATTGCCGAGGTATGATTTCATGGATAACTATGTTGAATATTGCTTCAATAATGTCTTATTGAGGATAACTATGTTGAATATTGCTTCAATAAAATCTTATTGAGGATAACTATGTTGAATATTGCTATAATAAAATCTTATTGCTTCTGTATCTGCCTCCAAGCGATCATTTTTCTTATGAGGTCGAGGAGAAGCTCGGCAAATAACTTACCGTCAACTTCGTGTCCTAAGTAAGCGCAAGAATTTTTCCAGCCTGCAAGTTAGTTCGGACAAAACACACCCGACAGAGTTTTTTGCTACTGAAAAAAATCAGTAGCAAGGTAAGAATTTTCTTACCTCAACATATGAAGACTTCCACGAGAAGTCTTTTTTTCTCAAAAAGTTTCAACCAACTACACTTCATGAAATATTTTTATGATTTGTTTATAGAATTATTTGTGCATGAGAATTAATTCATCGATATTTTGTACCAAAGATTTTTAATTTTTTTGCAAAAATAAGCAAGAATACGCTCAGGCTTGAATGATTGTATCGTTTATTAAATCATAAACGATTTTCCACACGAGTATTGTAGGGCATTTTTTAATACGGCAGATACGTGCTGGTATTCAGATATAAAGACTTTTATAATAAAAAGTGTATACTTTATTAAATTAACGTCATCTGAAGAATTTTGATTCCCTGCAAATTGGAATATAATGCATTCACTGGTCATTATTCATTATTCAGTAAGAAAATTCTGCCATCTAATGCTATTATACTAAATCACATAATTTATTGAAATCGTGTTCTTATCTTTTTGAATAAATTGTATTCGCATTTGTATGATGCTGAAAAGTTAATGCGTTTGCTAGACCCAAGTTTCTGCACGAATATTTTCAGTCAATTCTCATTCTGATTTCAGAGCATAAATATATTCATACGCTGCGGATTTCAAATCGCTGTTTTCCCACAAAAATAAGGTCAGTGTCATTCATTATAAAATATTTTTATACAGCTCGGTTGTTCACGTAGAAGATGTTTATAAATTCAAAGCGTTTCTCATGTGACTCTTCGGAAATGGTTAAAAACGCTCAATAGGAGAACTAATTTGTGCCGGTGACTTTCAATTTTTGCGTTAATCCCAATCGCCTTGTATTATTTATCAACACGCTCCAGCATTGCGTGTAAATGTTAAATAACGACGTGGCAACGTGTACCAATACACTCCTCTACATATATACGCTTCAACATAGATAAGCCTCAACTTATACGTATATGCGTCAAAATTTCAACCATCGCTCTTGCTATTTCTTTACAGGCGAATCACAGATTTCTAATATAGTGGGTGGCGTTGCTGGGAGACTGCTTCTTTCTCACATTATCTCGAAACGGCCGTGAAAGGTTCAGTTAAGATAGAAGACTGAGTATTCACACTGTATTTATTAAAACAAATTTGTACACTTGCGTTGTGCCCGTGTAGTCCTTACCAGCGTGTAACTAAAACATGAATAAATGAATCCCGGATGCTTGCATAAGCTAAAGTATGGAAAGCTGTAAATGAAAATGGAAAAATTGTTACTGTGTAATATGAATAAATGTATACTATTCCTTAACAGCGTGAAACATCAATTGTGTTGAAACTTTCAACTCTGACGTAGTCTGATTCTATGCGAGTGTTGAGGGTTGGGTTCTTTCCTGTATGGCAACACAAAAGCAAGCTCAAACGGGATTTTTTATTATATAATAAAAATTAATTGGATTTTCAGTATTAATCAAGAGGGGACCATGCTTGATGTGATAATAAATTAATGAAGGCAACTCTTTATGTCACGCTGAATAATTAATAACTTTCGTTAGCGTAAGCCCTGTACGCATGAATAAAAGTTAATTGCTTCCAGGAAACGTTCAAAAATATTAAATTCAAGCACGTGCTTGTTATTAGAATTTGTAATAGCAAACAAATAAGAATTGCGTTTCTCCTAAGCACAAAATCATTCATCGCGATAGATAAATGAATTTCCTATCCTGTGCTCAGATAAGTACATTTGTTTTTATTGGACTGCTGCCATTATATTCATTCAGCGAACAATTTACATTAAAATAATCTTATAAAGAAGCGTGGAGTTGTTCATTAAAGACTTCCTCACCGATTATCACCACCAACACCAAGGCTATACACCACCAACACCGAGGTTATAATCACCATCAACACCGAGGTTATAATCACCACCAACACCGAGGTTATATCACCACTAACACCGAGGCTATACACCACCAACACCAAGGCTTTAATCACCACCAACACCGAGGTTATAATCACCTACATAATCATGCGTGGCAAGAAACACTTTTATCTATAATCAAAGGAGTGCAGTTCAACAGCGGCTGCGGAAAACGTATTCATAATTTTCAATTTTGAGAATAAAAAAAGCTTCGCATCTGTCACGTATTGCTGGACTGAATTGCTATGCTAATGGACGGCTATGTAGATAAGTTTATTTAAATATATTTGTTTCTATAATGTGCATAAATTGGTAACCTCTTATTGCATCGGTAATGAATACATCACTCCCAACCAACAGAGGTTGTGAGTGACAAGAATGAATACTGAACCTATCTGTTTTGAAAATATTTTTGTTGGTTCACCGGCGGGCACGCATGTCCATTTTATACAGAGAAATTAAGAATTTAAATTAGCTGAAACTTGTTTTTGCATCGGATCCTTTATTACTCGGACGCTGACGTTTGTTCCTAATTTTTATTCTCGAACAATAAAGTTCGAGAACTTTGACCTCGGTCACTTCTCGGTCACCTCGGAGAACTTTGACCTCGGTCTTGTGTATATATATTTACTATTGTCCAAAAAGCTAATTTGTTAATTTAACTGCAATATAAAGAAGAAACGTAATCAATATTGGATAGTAATGAAGCTAATTCAAATAATTTTAAGTCGGCGCGTAGGAGCAAAAAATCTTGGTGGATCCCAAGATAATTTGATCAACGACAGAAAGTAGTGCTGTTATTGACGTGCTTAAAATTTTGATTTAAAATCATTTGGCGGATGCCGCTTATTGATTTCATCGAACATACTATGTAGCCGCTGTTTCAGCATCTCTGATTTTCCATGCTCACTGGAATTTGCAGCAAGAGAATTGACCTACAAGACGCAGTTCATTTCACATGCGCCACAGCATTCAGTGTCAGACCTAGAGACGGATGCCTGCAGTACCCGAGCAACCGAGCTATTCGGTTCGTTCGATTTATTGTTTTATTATTTGGATTGATTTTCCTGTTTAATTATTATTGATTTCTCTTAATTCATAATATTGTTTAACCAATGTATATTTCGTGCATATTCCTCGAATATTTTTCTTGTGGATTTCAACGT